ACTGTGGCGTGGTGGCAAAAGTAGGTTGTTATGGGAGATGGACACCGCGACTCGGCTAGAGGCTGACCACGACTTAATAGCCTGCAGCAGGGCATGGTGAATATATGACCACGACATGGATTCTCTATCAAAGAACAGATTAAAAGAGTTTAAGGGCTTATTCTTAGACAAAATCCTTCCCCAATCAATATAGAGCTGTCATGTGGCAATTTTGGTGCCAAGATGATGCCAATGAAAGCTAGAGAAGGTGCATGACAAGTATTAACATCTTTATACTCTTGAGATAAAGATTTCCCCTTTGATTAAGTTTGAGATTAATTAGTGAAATTGCTAGATTGGTTAGGATGGTTGAATTGATCAGCTTATAACTTGATTATGATGCTAATGAGAATGTATAAAAGCTTTTATCAAGCTTTGGAAGTGATTTCCTTAGTGAAATCAATCCATTGAGAGTTAGGGCTTGAAACCTTAACTAGTGAGGATTATGATTGATGCATTAGAGATTAGAGGGTACTGAATTATGTAGTATAAGATGCTTAATTCATTGGTTGGAGTAGGTTTAGATGTAGAAATGAGTAGATAGAATTATTATCCATTGAGAGGTCATCTTAACATAGAGAGTGATTAAGTTCTTAATAGCCTAAGACATGTTCTAAGGGACTTGACATGTTTTATGAATAGACCTTGATCTAAGAAGATGGATCAAGATGCATCAATTAAAGATTGGAAGACAAAGGGTAGTTAGTCTTTACTAACTAACAAGGTGAGTTATAACTCTCTCTCTCACACACACACACTCTCTCTCTAGATAATGTTTATATGATTTATATTCTTGTTTAATATATATATATATATATATATATATATATATATATATATATATATATATATATGGTTAGATGGAGATAGATTATTAATATACATCTAAAAACATATACATGAGCATGTACGTATATTTAAAGTAGGTATGAGATTATACGTCTAAAACCATGTATCTAAGCATGTATGTATATTTAGAGTATGTATGAGATTATACATCTAAAATCATGTATCTGAGCATGTACATATAATAAAAGTATGCATGGGTTGATAAAGATAGAGTGTGCATGTATGTGTAGATGTTAATGGTATTGTGTAGAATACCTATGTGTATGAGACGAAGATAAAGATTAAGTACTTAATGCGTTAAGTACTAGATGAGTAGTATGAGATCTCTTCAGGAGATAAAGAGATAGATTGTTCATCGAACGATTGTTATGTAATAAGTCACATGAAAGATTTAAAGAAGTGTATAAAGATGATTCCCGAGGGAATAAGAGTATGATTCATGAGGGAATGAGATTGTGGTGGTTAGAAGAGGTAGAGGAAGAATTCCATGAGTGGACAAGATACGAAAGTTCTTCAAAGAAAATTAGATATCATTCGTGATAGATTAAGAGTAAGGAACCCGTGAGGGATTTAAGAGAAGAAGAGTTTGTAAGGATCCTTGAAGGATTAAAGAAAGAGGGTTAAGTCCGGATTAGTGTACCCGGTAATGATAGGGTGATATCGTTCCCTTGTATGATATATGAAGCTATAGTATGGGATTGAACTCTTGGGTTTAGATGAGAATAAAATGCTAAGACATGAGAAGCTAAGAATAGAAAGGTAAGTGCAAGAATAGTATAAGAAGGCATGCTAAGAGTAAGAGTATGAGAATAACATGTGTAGAGTATGAGAAAAGCAAATAAATGGTATGAGATAAGAGTAAATGACAAGAAAATAGATGAAGTGAGAAGAGTATGAGAGAGGTAAAGAAAAGCAAAGTATGAGACGAGCCTAAGGACAGGCTAAGAAATAGTATAAGATGAGAAGGCAGGATAGAATAGGAGAGTATGTGAAGAGAAAGAATAGTTGAGTAAGTTATGAGAAAGAAGAGATTAGATTTACAAAGTGTGAGAAAAAAGTGAAAATAATGTTAGAATGTGTAAAGAAAGAAGAAGAAGAAGAATATGATAACATGAAAGGAAATATAATATAACTCACCAGACCTATGGTATGATGTATGTAGATATTTTCACGTTTTGCAGGTTCAGGTAGTAGTCGTTGTACGTGAGAAGATAGAAGCAAAAAAGACTTTGACTAGAAGTAGTTTAATTTTATTTTCAGTGTACCTTGTTGTCGTAAATTATGTTATTTTTATTGTAACCTCGATTTCTCTAGGATGTAAATTGTTTTGAGTTAATAGAATTCCACATTTTAGTAGAAAACTCTGATAATTCCCTGAAATATTTAAATGAGAGAAGTTGAGTTGTTACAACAAGCCATATTATTTCTACACCACACCCTAAGTGTGGCGGGTAGCATCTTTCCCACCACACATCAACTTCTCTCTCTCTCCATTAAAATATCCATATTTCTCATTTTTCCCATCATACAACTTTTTTTAAAATATTTAAAATAGATAGAAACAAAAAGAATACATTAGATTTTAAACACTAATTATAATAAAAAATACAATTAAATAAAAACAAAAAAGTGGTTGTTGAGGTTTAGGACCATATGTGTTTGCAATCTGTTCAACGAGATATGATCGTAGGTTGTTATGGGTTTCTTGGCAACACCATTCCTGATGAATATCTTTATTTACTTCTATAACTTCTTGAACATTTTCATGTAAAAGACATATTGCTAGACATTTGTGTTTTAAAATCACATCATGTAATATAATATATACATACATTGTATTTCTAATTTTTCTATGAAGCATTATGAGGGAGTTAAACTATAGCCATCGAGTTTTAAGGATACCAAAAGCTCATTCCTCTTGTGATGCCTTGAACCTTTTTTCATTTTATTGTCGTTTGAATAGGTAAATAATATTCGCTAGTAGGGGCGGAACACGAGTAGTAAAACTAGGGGCCCGGAATTAAGACTTTTAAAGATACATATGAACACGTTTAATTTGATTGAAAACTATAACAAACGATCAATTATTTCGATTTTTATAAAATAAAAATTAATAGTTGGAATTTGATAAACAACTATTTATTTCCACTACACAAAAGTTATAATTGTATTTATCGTATAAAATTAACTAGCAATTAATAAATATAAAAAATTAAAGATTAACATAGACAATTTTAACAAAAATCGTTCTAAATATCCAATTAAGTTTCCTTAACATTCTATTGTTTAAATAAGAATAAAATTTGATAAACTGGCAAAAATGTTTAAATAAAAATAATAATTGATAAATTGGCAAAAATAATTAAAACTATAGTCTTTTAATAGCTTGAATATGTTAACCTCTCAGCCGTTGAGGTCATTATCATGTCACATTATCTCAAATCCTAGTGAGAGAAATAGAAAAAACAAGACAAAGGGGGAGAGGGGCTTACCAAATGCATGAGGTCGCAGAAGAGAGATTGTGATGTACATAGAGCTTGGCACAAATCTTTCGAAGAAGAAGTACTGACCACGAAGGTAACTGGACAGAGTAGCAGTTCGGCGAACGGAATATCCGAGAGACAGAGTGGTGACCACTCCCGAGGCGCCTGATTATTTTTAATGGTGGACAAATCTTTTCCGATGAACATTCTTTTTTTCCAGCGAGCGACTGTTCAACTTTCTTTTTCCAATAAACATTTTTTTACCGACAACAGTAGGGTTTTCTATTTTCTCAATCTTTAAGCGAAAGAAGTTATACATTAAAATAAGTTTTTGGTTCATTTATAAAATTGGTTTTGATATTTTCAGATTATGTGTTGGTTAGTTGCCTAATCTATTAGTCAAACAAGATTAATTTTTTGGTTTTTCGAATTAATTTGTCAGTTAAATAGTTTTATCGTTACGGATATATCTAGAATAAACCTTGAGGGGCCAAAAAGTTCGTAAAATAATTAAAAGCATTCCTATGTATATGATACACGCATATAAGGAAGAAAAAAAGCAGGGGACTATCCTTTTAAAGGCTTCGTCTCTGTTCGCTAGATAATATTTATGCTTATATTGTACTTTGTTAACCTGACATGAAATTCGTTGTTGAATAATGATAATTGGTTGATGACATTAATGTCGTTGTTGGAATAGATATCAACAAAAAACGCATGCCAAAACCATAAATCATGTAAGGCGACCACTTCGAGCATAATGATTAGGTACACATGATCACCTCTGCTCTCATTTATTGACCTCATCATGATGTTGGTGTGTACAATCAATGTTGTCTAGCATTCCGGAAAATCTATGTTTAGATTCATGTGTTGCATACACAAATTAGATGTTGTTGACAGCCGGTTTATGTGAATATTCTTGTCCATACTACTGAATAATACATGTACAAAACTTTTTGAGCCTTTTATGTGGAACTCTTTTACACATATTCAAGAACTCATTATGCACGTAGGGTATGTTAGTTGACGTATTGCATATGTGCTTTCTTTAATAGACTGTGCATCGTAGCATAATCTAAAAATTGAAGTTCCGATTCAACGTCATCAACTTTTTATATGAATAGTTCTCTTCGCATACAAAAACATTCTTCTGAAACTGTCAACACCTTATATGCGGTCATCAACGAAGTAATCATGCACGAGACCACCATGTGCCACTTCACAAGCTCTTTCTACACGATTTCTTCTAATCATTTCTCTATTTGAAGTTGCAGTATCTCGAGGAAGTAACATATTTTAAGTAAGTTGACAAAAACGAGTGTTAGCACATATCTATTATCAAATAAAGACTTACCTTCTGAACTTGATAATAAATACACGCATATTCATGTTATTTCAAAGCTATGATTATGACACCAATGGTTAATCAATATATATGTAAATGTTGAAACTTGGAAGAAGATAACCTATTCAACAAGGACATTGCAATAGAATTCATACTCGCAAACTATCCAAACCTCTGACAGAATAAAATTTCACCACTAAGGAAGGACACCTAAAACATGAATCAAAGAGGTATAAACCAAGGGAGAATTCAAAGCATTTGCATTTAATAACTTCACATGTTACATTTAAAGAAACTGCCCCGAATTTAGAGCCAATGAGAAGAACGAAGAGAAAAGGTATATCTACATATCTTATCAATTTCAATCCGATTACACATATTTCCAAAGTTGAAACCCACCAATCAAATGACCCAAAACCAACTAACCACCGAACCACTAGCCAGACCCAAAACCAAGAACAACACAAGCACAGTCCCGGCTGTCTCAGCATGTTGAAGCGGCACCGTTTTAGGACCCAACATCAGCAAACAGCTAGTCAAGTAGCCATTAGTAAGCCCTAGAAGACAAGTCACAATTGTCACCGGAATCTCAGTCCGAAGAACCATCGGACCATGTAAACAAGCCAAGTACACCGGAAAAAATAAAAGCCGAGCAAATGAAGCACCGATAGCCACCTTAGCATTCTCCACCACATAAATCGCAGTCAAACATTTCCCGATTAGGTCAAACACGTTGAAAGCAGCAATAAGAATGATCGGATACCAATCTTTGAGGATTTCGGAATGAACATCTTCTGTAATATACCCGGGAAATATAGCTAAAGTTACAACGTAGAGGATGATGACGCCGATTCCGTACCATTTTACTGCTCCCATGATTTCCCGTGCTCCGGTAACGGCGCCTTTTTCTTCCTTCTCGGTGTTTACAGCTTGGATTTTTATCTCGTTGTAGTGTTTGATGACAGGGAGTCTGTGAGCTATGTTATGTAAAACGATGCATATGATCATTACGATTATGCTGACTAAGAAGTAGAGATTTGCGCTTTTTCGTAGCCCTTGAGCGTCTTGTGAGTATACTGCTTTCGTGAAGATTCTTAGAATCGATATGAGAACCCCTGTAATGAAATTGGTGTTCCCAAAATGTTAAATCAGCTAATTTATCTTGATAGCTGGATTGAAGTGGTGAACTCAAATCGAATTGGGTGAAACTTAAAATCCCCAAATCAGAGATTATATAATTGAAAACCTAGATCCGGTTTGTAAAGAGATCGAGACAATTTACCTGAAGCAGCAGTTCCAGCAACGACAGCTTGCATATACCTCTCCGGCATTTCACCGGCGGCTCCAATCACTCCGCCTTGAACCAACGCATCGGCGAGACCAGCCAACGCCACCGCCGCCACAGAAACGTAAAACCCGCCGTAAACCCCGACCTGACCCTTGATATACGTTACATCCATCACAGGGACGACAAGCAACGATACAACAAACAGACCGAGACCTACGTTAATCCTGACGAAGGAATGAGATTTGTCTGCGTAGAAGATGATGACGAGGAGAGATATGAGGCCTACAACCATGTAAACGACGGCGAAAACACGGTCGACGGAGGCGTCGGGGTAGAGATATGAGAAGTAATCGACGGCTGTGATGAATGCGTTCCATGGAATCAAGTAACCGGTGCCAAGGATGAAGTAGATTATGTAGGCTAAATGGTACGAGTCTTCGGGGATTTTGGTGTTGGGTTCTGAGAGGAGTGGGAGCGTTGGTGATTCGGAGTCGTTAACGGGAGTAGCGTCCGCCGTGGGGGAAGTGGTTGTGCCGCCCATGATCGCCGGAGATTCAATTTTTAACAAGATGGAAGTGGGTGCGTTGAGCAGTGCACAGATAATTAATATTGCGAGTAAATTACAAATTTGGTCCCTAAACTTATGTTATATTTACATATATACTTCAAAGTCTTAGTTTTGTACATTTTTGTTACAGATTATACATGTTTTACAATACATTAGTTTAATCTTTGTCATGAAAGATACTTGTAATTGTACATGTTTTACAATACATTAGTTTAATCCTTGTCATGAAAGATATTTGTAATCAACATTAGGGTTCCAAAAGAGCAATTAGTTACTACCTTCATTGAAAACAAGGTCCATAAAAATGAAAAATATATCATAACTTTGTTTTTCTTTAGTCTTATTTAGTTATATGAATTTTCTTTAATTAAATAAATAACTAAAAGTACCAAAAATATTTCAATTTTTTTTTTAATATTTCCATCTAAAATAGTCATGTGCATAATGTCATAGCATCATCATAAAAAATATGTTAACCAACATTTAAGCTATAAACTAAAATGTATAAGTTGGAGCCATAAGTGCAAATTGAGCATAAGTTGAGGGATAGCTATTGTAGATTATCTAAAACAGGTAGTTGGCTAAGATTCCAAGAAATCATCTGTACCGGAGAAAAAGGAGGCCAAAAACGTGGTGCTAATACTTTAATATAAAAAATCGTATATTATAAGCTACGAAAATAAATAAAATTAAAAGTAAACTCATTTACGTAAAAGATATATGTTGAGGTCCCGCGAGATAAAATGGAATCGGAATCTAAGATTCTAAGATTCAAAAGTTATAAAAATTTAAAAGCTTAGTGATAACAAATACTATCTAATATTTATGATAAGACTATCTCTAATCCATTT